GAGGGAGAGAGAGAAAAAGGCGTCGAGTGTTTATTATAAAGGAGAAAATATTAATTCCCCCTCGCCGTGGGCCGTGACGTCAGTATAGGAAGTCATTGTAGAGCAACACTGGAGCGATTAGCAGCAAAAAGGGGGAGCCTGATGTCGAGGAGTCAGCCCTATGTATATCTCTCTATACGCCTCAACTTTTAACACAAAGTTCAATATAACACAAAAAGGGACGTGGACTACCCACACTTTGCTTTTGCGCGTTTTCACTGAATGTAACACCCTGGACCATAGGCTGCCTGAGCCGCCTGTAAACGAGGATTTTGTTTCTTTCCTGGGTTTATTCCTCAACACTTTTTAATTTTTTCCCCCTTCACTCTAACTCCCGAGTTAATTTTTTTTTTTTTTTTTTTTGCTGACTTTCTTGTGATTTGCACCGGAGGAGCAGCAGCTCACTGTTGTTATGAAGACTTCATCCCTCCTTTCTTAATATGGAAGGATCCAGCGGGTCGAGTTTTGGGATAGACACTATTTTATCCGGCGCTTCTAACTCTGGCAACCCCGTGCTCATGAACGGAGATTTTCGCCTCGGCGACAGCAGGACAGCGGATTTCAGGAGCCAGGCAACCCCGTCGCCATGCTCGGAGATAGACACTGTGGGAACGGCCCCCTCGTCCCCCATCTCGGTCACCATGGAGCACGGCGCCGATGCGCATCTGGTCCAGGACAGCCTTCAGCATCACCACCATCACCACAACCAGCCGCAGAGTTTGCCGCTGTCGCCTCAGCAGCAGCAGCAGCAGCAGCCGCAGCAGCAGCAGCCGCTCGGCGGGGCCGGCTGCGCCCCGAGGACTGCCACCTCCTCGTTTCTAATCAAAGACATTTTAGGCGACAGTAAACCGCTGGCAGCCTGCGCACCTTACAGCACCAGTGTATCCTCACCGCATCACACGCCAAAACCAGAAAGTGCCACGGCTCCGGACGGCTTCAGGCCCAAGTTGGAACAAGACGAGAACAGGAGCAAGTTGGACAAAAGAGACGACATTCAGAGTGAAATGAAATGCAACGGTAAGATCACATCAGCTGTTGTTTACCTGAGAGAAGCTGCTGGTTGGAAATGTCAGGACTCTGAAATAGGCAGAAAGTACAGCTAGTAGAACCTGTCTGATCAACACAATAATAATAATAATAACAACAACAACAACAACAACAAGAAGAGAGGGATTCTTTGTCTTAGTTCCTGCCTCCTTTATTAGTCTAATAGATGTGAAAACAGATGTAAGCCTGGTGATTTTCCCCGCGCGAGGGGCCTCCCTAGTGGGTCAATTAGAGAGATTATTGTTCTTCCTAGAGGGGGGATCATGGCGCACTGAAACACAGCTACAAATAGAGATGGATTGATATATTGATTTCTCGTTTTCTGAAAGAGAGAGACAGAAAAAAAAAACTTCAAATGACAAATACACCACAAGTTTCTTTTATTGCTCCTGCTTCTGCCACACATGTTGGCAGAAATTGTACAAGTTTTGGAGCAAACTTTGATTAAAAGCAAACTGCGGTGTGCTTGTTATTTTTTTTTACCTCCCACAATATTTAAAGGCTGATTTTTTTTTACTATTATTATTTTGGAGAGGGGGGATGCTGTGTGAGGAAACTTCTAAATATAGGCCTTGATGGTTTTAACCACCATTCACTCGCATTTGCTTTGCGCTCAGGGACTAAAGAAGAAGGTGACCGGGAAATCTCCAGTAGCAGAGACAGTCCACCGGTGCGCACGAAAAAACCTCGCAAAGCACGGACAGCCTTTACCGACCACCAGCTCAACCAGCTGGAGAGGAGCTTTGAGCGACAAAAATACCTCAGCGTGCAGGACCGCATGGACCTGGCAGCGGCTCTCAACCTGACAGACACACAAGTCAAGACCTGGTACCAAAACAGACGGTAGGCCACCAGCTTTATTCCCACTATTCAAGTGCGTAAATGGAGTGATTTTTATTTTTTGCTCCTGTAAAAAAAACCCAAAACTTATCACCTGGAAGCATGTGGAAGATCTCATCATTTTAAAGATGACACCATTAAAAAAAACAAAACAAAACCTTCTTGTCTCTCACATTCATCTAATTTTCTTCTTGAATTATAATATTTTCCCATCCACTTTAATTTAAATTTGACGCTTATATTTCTATTTGATATCTTCTTTTCTTTCCCTTTTCTAACCAACCAGTGCAACAGCATGTAAAACCTTTATTTTAATTCACTGGTTATTTGTAAAATTATATTTAGCTTGAAAAGACAACCTTCCTGACTAGATGTGAAGCTGACATTGATGCACAATCACATGATGACATTTCAAAAATATATTTAATAGGAAAAATTTGCTTTTATCCTCACAAGTGAGATTTTCTGAAATTGTAATTTTTTAACTTCTTGGTTTTTGAGGCCTGAATTATATGTAAACAATTAATAAATCAGTGCATGTATTTGTTGCCTGGATGTGTCACAAATAGCTCTGCTTTACTATTTATGTTGCACGTTTTCTGCTAAAATGAGTTCATAAAATAGTCTTTGTGCCACTTTTAAAAGTTCATTTTAATATTAAATAGAATATATTTGCACAGGTGCGAGGAGAGTAAAGCTTGAAGAAGTTTGGACTGAAACATATTTTCTTTTTTTTTCCTCTCCTTCCCCTCCCCTAATTAAACCTTAAGCATATATTCGTGCCTGTTATAATTAGGCCTCTGCATACCAATGAAAAGGGGCCGTTTGGGGAATTAGCAGGAGAGCTGAGATGATTTAAATAATTCATCTGTTGTATTTTGATCCGATGTTGCAGGACGAAGTGGAAGAGGCAAACGGCGGTGGGATTAGAGCTGCTGGCTGAAGCAGGAAACTACTCGGCCTTACAGAGAATGTTCCCGTCGCCCTACTTCTACCACCCGAGCCTGCTGGGCACCGTGGACAGCACGACGGCAGCCGCGGCCGCCGCAGCCATGTACAGCAGTATGTACCGGACTCCTTCCACGCCGCACCCGAGCCTCCAGAGACCTCTAGTCCCCAGGGTGCTCATTCATGGCCTTGGGCCGGGGGGGCAGCCGGCTCTAAACCCCCTGTCCAACCCGATGCCCGGCACGCCGCACCCGCGATAGAAAAAAAAACGCGCAAAAAAACAAATAAGACGATGACCACAAAAAGCTGGTTGAACACGTGATGTGAGTAACTGCATCGGAACCCACATTGCAGGACTTCTTTTTTTTTTTCCTTCTCTGTCCCCCCCCATTCCCCTCCCTCAAAAAAAGACACATTTAAAGACATTTTACAGAAGTAAAGGAGGTATTTAATATAGGCCCTGATACAGACTGTGTGTGCGGGGCCCCAGCGAGGACTGCTCATGTCTGATTGTTTGTTTGTTTGTCTTTTGTACAAATACACTTACATTAGCAAATAAACTTATAAAGTTTATTAGATGGAGAAGAACTGAATGAATAAAGAAGTAATGATACTAATTGAATTGTAGAGGCTTCTATTGAAACAAATTTCATTTCTAAAAAAAAAAAAAAAACTTCCATAAACCAAAATTGAAAAACAACAATTTCTCTCAGTTAATATGCAAAATTCCACTTGTCTTCACTTTATTCCAAACGTTGACCCACATTTACGCGTCAGGATTTTCCAAGCTGACGTGATTTTGTGGCCATAAGTGGATCAAGGTAAATAATTTGTTACAGCAGCAGCATATGGTGTCTAAATGGGAAGATACAGAACCAGTGATCACCCGACTGGAGGTCAGCTTCCACTGCCTTTTATATTTATGTTTACCAGCACATATGCATATGGATGCGCAGCAGCTGATTGGTGGTGGGGATGAATGGTTTTTGGATGAGACTGGGTATACTGGGAATGTGGCCTTGGCTTAGCAGCTGTTCCCTGGGAGCGCAGCGAGACAATAAACCTGAATTTCTCAGCGTGAGCGAGCAGTGCAGCAGGATCAGGACAAGAAGGCTGCAAGAAAGGAGCAAAAAAAAAAAAAAAAGTGCTGATAATCTGCTCATTCTCAATAACCAATAGCCGTTAGTGAACTTGTTTCAGGAAGTTTTGGGCGAAAATAATCTCCTGTGACCTCGGTGTCATTTGAAGCTTTGCATCATTTATTTATTTTTTAGGGGGAAAAACCAGCTTCAAAAAATTAACTTTTAGGATTTTATTTTATTTTTTATTTTTTTGCATTAGTGGCCATCTGAAAATAAAACTAAACAAATACGAGCGCCGGTCTGGATTTAAATGTTATTAAAAGACTTTGATTTTATTTAGCCTCCTCTAAGCGCGCACCCGGGAGAATATGGCGAGGGGGCGCTTGGTGTGAATTAACGCCTCGGGGCCTGTTTGTTTGGGTTACTTTTTTTATTTTTTTATTTTTTTGCTTATTACTGTGAGCCAAATAGACTTTGCTGGAATATAAAAAAACAAGGAATGCATGCAAACCTTCAGCAGCCACATTATTTCCCATTTTGCTTTCGACATTTACGCACGGCTGTTTTTGCTCTTATTAATATTTTTATTCTGAGCAAGAAGAAAAAAAAAACCCAACCGTTTAAATCAAGTTTTTTTTGTCCTTCTAAGAAAAGTGACCACAGAGGCTGCACAAAACTGCCCAAGTAGTGTCACTTTGCCAGCGGACGCAGCAAAAACGCAGGCTTAAGTTTCGCTGCGTCCTGATGCTCTGAACACGTTCATGTCGCCTGTTTAATCCGGCTGCTTGTCACTCACTCTGTGGACTCTCAGAGGAAAACCCGCTCCCGCTGCTTTCACTTTCTGCGCGGACACCGCCGTTAAAGACTCCCCAACACACATTAAAAGCGCCTCCTTTATTTAACCGTAATTGCGCAGACAGGCCGCGGAATTACTGTTATTATTGGCTCGAGTGTTCGCTGCGCAATCACAGTAATTCCACTAAATACAGTATCCATTAAAATCTCAGGGTTTTGTGGATCATCGCGCGTCGGGGCTGCAGGAGTTTTCTGCTTCTTTTTTTTTTTTTGGAGGCTGTTTACGGTCGCTCCCTTCTCGGCCTTGTAAAAGCAGCGATCGCAGCTCTGGCCTGTATCGCCAGTGTTGGAAAATATTAGCCTACCATATTGACCCTGCAGCTCGTGGCCATTACTGCAGTATAGTGCCGACGCATGTTGTTCATATGCATGACTTCTACGGCATTATTTATTTATTGCACTCTGCGGGTGGGAGGGGTGGGGTGTCGGCGGTTGTGCGGGCTGTTTCCAATTCATTAATAATAGGCTGAGCCGTACAGCAGCACTGAATTAATAGGCTCCTACCGTCTCCTACTACCTGGTAATTTTTAGGCGTTGCTGTAATCAGATTTTTCTATTTTACGCACACGACTGGAATATTTTGCATTTGTCATGGGCTCAGTCAGCCGCTAGTATGAATGTGAAATTCTTTTTTTTTTAATGTGCTGGATGAGGTTTTTATCACAGGTGCATTAATATAATATTTTTTCGGTGCAATTTCTGAAATATTTGATATTATTATTATTTAGACTCGCAAGCGGATTTTTGTGTGTGTGTGTGTGTGATGAAGATGAGCAATACTTAAGAAAACCTAATCAGTGATGTAAAAAAAAAAGGGCAGCAGACTTGAATAAAGAGGATTAGGCCTTTTCTTTTACATGGCGCATATTATCCAGAACAGATGGGCTTTAGAGAGTCGTTTTCTTCTTCTTCTTCTTGCCTCAAGGAACCTTGTTGGGCACTTTAATTGCCACTTTTTCCAACTGATGTAATGGTGGGATATCTTTTTCATTACAATAATGAGGTAACACTTGCTCTCCTTGGCCTCTCATTATCACATCTCCTACATCACTCACTAAACACAAATTTAACCCCCCACCTCTCCTACCCCACCTTCCCCCCCCCAAAAAACTGTCCGCGCTAACTTCTCTTATAGATCTCGTTATAAACTGCTACTGCTGCTGTGTGTGTGTGTGCGCCTGTGCGTAAATGCGCGTTGCAGCAGCCCCCTTTTCATTAAGGAGCCTGCAGGAGAATTTAAACCTCTGCATAATAATAATGGTTCACGAGGCAGATGACATTTTTTTTCTTTCTACAAAACTGTAGATTGTAGCTTCAGAGGGACGCGCTCAGGGTGAGGAGCTGCTCCATTCAAACGTGCGTCAAGTTGGTCGCGCTTATGTACTGATCTCAGTTAAAAAAAAAACACAACCTGAGAAATGGTCAGCCTTGATATTTTCTCAGCTGGTACATTAGTGACTATTTCCTCAGCTCTCAATATAACGCTTTAAAAAAACACACATTTTACCCACTAATGTGTCCCAAAATGTAATATTTAAGTGCAACTCCTTTAAATATTTTAACAGAAGACGCACATAAATCTCACTTATTTAAGCATTAATATAAATGCTGAAACATTTGCAGGTATGATCAAATATGACTCATGTTTATGGAGACAATAACAGGTTATAAGAAGCAGATTGATAAGCTTTGGCCTCCCTCAGTATTACACACATCAAACATTTAATTTCTCATATTGTATTAATTGCTTTAGTTTGGATACTGAGCTTGTTAGGTGTCATTAAAGATGCATTTTGTATATTTTCCATCAACTTCCAAACAGATGTTGTGATGAAATAAGCCAAAAACAATGAGTTTACTTCAAGATCACTTGTCTAGTTTGGACATATTGATCAATTATAGTTATATTTAACTCGAGGAAATTAATACTAGTTTGTGCACAAAGTTATTTTAAAATACTTAATGTGAGATAAAAACATCCTTTAACCGCAAACAGTTGCTATTTCCTGACCTGGCAACGTGTCTCGTCTAGTTCCTCTGTGCTGAAATGGTAAATTAGTGGTAGGAAGTATTTCTGATGAATAGTTTTTTTTCTTTCTGTCCTTTCCTGCCTAGATATGCTCCTAAAGTTTGGTTGTTAATGGCAGTGAGTAACCAGCGAACAGACTTGTTGACATGGAGGCTGTAAGCCATCCACTCGTCATCCTGATAAACACCCACCTCACGGCTGAGCCCAGACTAGCACGGACATCTGCAACAGTCCCGGCTGAATGATGCCGTATAGCTGCGACATATCATAGTTTAAATGGCCTCATCATTTCAGCAAATCCAGCCAGTTTCCCTCTTCTCTTTTTGTCAAGTGACAGGACAGCTGATGGCAGAGAAGCTCCGCTACCTTTCAAGTTTCAACCAGGCGCCGTCACATGCGACCGCACAACCAAGAAGAAAAAAGTCTGTCAGCAGTGATGTCAAAAGCTTCAATTTTTACAGAGCAATTAGGGGTTTCATCACAGAGGAGTGATGTCAGGATTCATTACGGCTCAGCAACAGCTAATTGCTTCAAGGTTAAAGTAACAGATCTGACGGCATTATATTTTAAGTGACAGACTCAAATTCTGCTGGTGTTTCATGGAGCACAGCTCTGACATTAAGGGAGTGTGCTCAGGAGGATGGGGGGCTGAGAAGCAATTGAAATTACTGCACATTAGGACTGTGATTGGTGAGAGGAGCGGCGACTCTCTCAGGAACAAACCGCTGTTTGGGTCTGCCTCTGTAAGGGGAAACAAAGGACAATGCACTTTGCAAACACCTTTTCAAGCACATCGTTCTTGAGCTGTGGCCCTCGTGGGTATAAAGTATTCACCCAAACTAACGGAAAATGTGTCCTCTGCTCAAACTTGACTTACTTCATGTGTCACATCGAAGTTGCTCAACCACAGCTGTACGTTTGCTCACGACCTCTGATTATGAGGCTTTCCAACTATGAAGTTGTCCAATGGAAGATTGATTTTTATCTCTCCGCTTGTTAGATGTGAATAATTTAAAAACGACCTAATTGGCCAACGTGACAGCGTTTCACAAGGAAGAAGATTGTTCCATCATCGCACGGCCACTTGTCGGGGTCCTCACCCTCCTTACGGGAGTCACTTCTGTGCCATGTAGAGCTTTTGTCACTTCAAGACAGCAGAAATAAACTGTAAGCAGAACATGTATGTCGTCTTGACATCGATGTAGCTCATGTGTCGGCAAACAGTCGCCCCTCCACATACATGTTAGCATTCACTGATTGACATTTGACTCTTCTTAAAGCTTTGTTTTGTCTT